CCAGCCGACGAGAGGGACACAGTCGAATATTGTCAATTGTGGGAAAACAGTGAGCGCTAATTCAGACACCCAGATAAGCAAGCCTGTATGTGTATTAGCTGTTGTCCGGTCTGGGTTTCATTCCTAAACTGTAGATGAAGGAAGAAAGAAGGGTTGTGGAGGTGACTGTGCGTAAAATAACTGTTAAGAGATATAAATGTAAGTAAAACTAACATGCAGCAGATACATCTCCGTCTTCTTTTTTTTTGTCCGTAGTTCAGTTGATAGTGCCATCTTAGTAGTTCGAGTGGCCTCCTCCTGTCGGCGTAGGTTTTAGAAATCAAGTTTTGTAAAGAGCCATTGCATCATTATCATGCAACGCCCGTTGTCCCCTGTTTAATTTTCGGACATCTTACCCCCTTTAGAGTTTTGCAGTCTGTTTGATACACACTCAGATGGGTATAAACCCCATCTGTGCCCTGCATTTTTACTTGTCCTGGAGCATAGGGTAGTTTTCATGTTGTCTTAGTCTTCCTACATTACTCTATTTGCATTTTTTATTAGTTATTGAAGTTAATTCTACGCTGCTTTTCACCTTAGTGATTTGCCTGTTCGGTCGATCACTGCATTTCCTCCACGTGGTCACATTTACGTTTGCTGTGCACGCCTGTGCGGTTGTATTCGTGGCTTCGTCCTCCGTATGGACTGATTTTTGACGCTTTCGCATAGAAATTATATATTTTTTTTTTGAAAAAAAAAATAAGCCAATTTTTCAGAATTGTTTAAAATTTCTGCATCAGGAAGCGAAATTAAGCCATGAAAATGTGCGGCATTCCGTATATGTTACAGAAGGTGGTGATTGGAAACTTGGTGGTTTTGAGAAATCAACACCATTCACGTAATACTTTTAATTCCATTTTGTCTACATACACGGAAAAAATGTATTCGATGTGTTTGAGAGGCGAAAGCAGTTGAAATTAATGGCATCCAATGCCAATTCAGCAACTTTTGCCTGGTTAGGCTGTCGATGACTTCCTCTTTCGAAGAGTTACAAGCAAGCTGATGACAGTTATCTCAGTACGGTTATTTCAGTAATCCACGTAACGATTTAAATTCGTTAGCTCTACTGATGTGGGAAATTTTTAATGGTTTCAATGAATCGCTCACTGAACGGCAACTGCCCAAAACCATTCCTCGTCAATTGATCGTACCGTACAAAAAGTTGGCATCTTCGCAAGCATCAAAATTGGATGTTGGAGATTTATTAAAAGGTTTATTCGTATCATTTTTCTAGAATCCCCTATAGTTTTCGTTCGCCAACGGATTATATACTGCTTTGTCCCAAATTTTGCCTCTTTTGAGTGGCTTGACTATGAGCAACAGGATGGAAATCTTCATCTGTGGCCCATATTTGGGGCCAAGAAAAAAGGAATATTTGATTCTTTCTTCTATTTTACCCCAAGAAGCACTACGAGCTTACGAGCGAGTAATTCAAAAAAAAACTGTGTTTTTATATTTTGTCTCTTATTTTTTCCTGGACATAGTTCCTTACAAGAACTTCTGAATTTTTCCGTTTTCTTCTGTATTAATAATAAGCCCATCTCTGTCTAACTGAAAAGTACCAGTTGCATTGCATAAATTAGACTAGCCTGCCGAGGAAAACTCGCGAAAAGCCAGCCAAGAAGTCACGAGAAAGAAAAAAGAAAGGAAGGTATATCCTGCTTTCAAAAGTAGATACACAGTAGATGTGCTGCCAGACTGGACCTAGGCTACTAGGGCCGATGGTGTAGTGGTAGTGCGTTGCGTCCGGACGCGAAGGGGAGTGGTTCGATTCCCTTCCGGTGCAGAGGAGTTTTTGAGAAAGGGTTCCTTTCACAGCTTAGGCTTTCTTTTGTTATTCCGCTGAAGCTTTCTTTAAGACTCTCGTATTGGCCTTCTGCTTACACTATAAGTTAATAAATTGTATATATTTCCTCTTTAATGGATGGAGAAAAAAATCACATTTCAAATCACATTTTAGCCCAGTCTTTTTCCCTTAAGGTGAAAAGCCATTACATAAGATGGATGTGCTTATTTTCAGAGCTTCGGCGTGCGGATGGCTTTTTCAAAAATCGTTACGTTGATACATTACTGTTTCTGGATGAATTTCAATTGAAGGATGCGCATGAGAAGCAGATATTTTTTACAAAATTGAAGGATGATTTGGAAATTTTCCCGAGCAACATTGCAAAATATCGAATTCTTCCGAAAGTGATACATGTTAGTGCCGAAACATGGTAATAACACATGCAGCGACTAGTGACGTCGGAACATTAATTTTACTTTAGTTATCTCGATAGCCATCTTTGGTCAATTGTAGGCATTTTCCTCTTTTGGGCTCAGCTCGAGATTCAGTAGATTTGTA